GGCGTGGGCGTGCGCGGGGGGCGGCTGGCAGGCCTGCGCCAGGCCCTGGAAGTCGAAGCGGTAGGCGTAGCGTTTGCCGTGCACCTTGCTCATGATGTTCTTGTCGTAGTAGTAGCGCAGCGCGCGGCTGAGTTTGTCGTAGTTCATGTTGGGCTTGCTCTTGCGCTCGCCCCAGCGCCGCGCCACCTCGTCTGGGTCGGTGAGCTTGAACTCGCCGTGGCCACCTTCCCACGCGATGCAGCCGGCGTTCGCGCGGTCCGCCAGCAGCTCCAGCAAAAACTGCCACAGCTGAATCTGCCCGCTGCCTATGGGAAGGAGGGCAGTCAGCCAGGGGCGGGCGGGGGTGGCTGGAAGGGGGTGGGGAGGCAGGGGAGGAACCGGTGTCCCAGAGGGAAAAGGCTCTTCGGGCCGCGTTGCTGGGCACACGGCTGGCCAGGGCGCGTCCATCCGCAGAGCAGTACCTGGCCCTTACCGTGCTTTGCCCAGTGCAGACCTTCCCGCGCAGGAGGCTCGCTTCTGCGCTGCCAGGCTTTGTGAGAATTGGGGGAAGACAGCGCCCTTATTCAGGCAGACCTAAGGCACTGAGTATCCAGCCAGGTGGGTGGACTGCCCCTTCCCAGCTGGACCACATCCAGAAGATCCAGAAGGAGACCGGAGTGCAGCAGGACCACCTTCCCACCGGACAAGACACAGCCCCCAAAGGCATACAGGTGGCCCAGCCTCCCCAGATGGAGCAGAGGCGGCGGCTGACACCCCAGCCCCTACCAGTGAGAGGAGGGACAAGCTCTTCTGGTGACTTGGAGCACTGAGCGGGCTGCACACGGTTTTTTGTTTGTTTGTTTGTGTTTTTTTGTCCCCCCCCCCCCAACAGACGGGATTCCTGGAGCTAGAGGGTGCCCTATGTCCCTGGGGCCTGATACACACAGCTCTGAGAACAGAAGATTGGAGACTGCTATGCGGGCTCCCGGCTCCCTCCCATCTTTGGTCAGACTAGCTGTTCTTTGCCCCTCCTGATTTTGGGTTTGCTGGAAGTAAGAGATTTTTCCCAGATGTGTGGGTGGTGAGAGTGGGCCCTCTTCTCTTCAGAACACCTTCTTCCCCATCTTGAAGCTTCAGATGGTGAGAAAGATCTTGATACAATTATTCTCACAACTCTCTTTTAGAATAAGATAGATTTTCTTTTAAGTCGTCTGACTATTCAAATCAAACCTAGTGAAGCTCTCTCCCTTTTTCAGCTACTCACAACCAGACACAGCCCTTTGCTATAATTTTACCCCCAACTCCTCCACAGTAGTACAGCTATTGGGCTCCAAGTCAGGAATATAGAATTTTAGGGTCGAAGTAAGGGAAGGTTTGGATAAAAAAATGTGCAGAGAGCTAAGGCTGAGCACTTACGGCTTGGGAATCTGTTCCCCTTTGACTTCGTATTTCCTTTTGGATAAAGCAGTCGCTGGCTTTTTTTTTTTTTTTGGGGGGGGATTACTGTAACTTTGTGAGGTCTAGGGTACTAACAGGGTCCAGGACTGTGGGGAGGCTTTGCCCGAAGGGCAAGCTGGGTTTCAGTCGGCAGGGCAGGGCCTAGAATAATTTACTCACCTGCAAAGCTGCAGCAGCGGTAAACCTGGGACACAACTGCATTGACCCAGCAGGCTTGGGGGTGAGGGGAGGTGGTCCGTGAGGGACTGGTGAGGCAGGGCACTGGCCCTGGTGCTAGTGATGACCCTGCCAGGAGTGGCCAGGGGGTAATTCTGCTGTCCCATTTACAGGGCAATACTGCAGCCTCCCACTCCTGTTGCCATGATCTCAGCCCCGGCAAAAAACCACTTGTAGTCCATGCGGACCTGGTCCAGGATTCTCTCCATCTGCCCTGGCCTAGGAGTCCAGCCCCAGAACTTGGAAAATGCAGGAACCGAACATCAAGCAAAATTTACCCCCAGTTTCCCACACAATCATGCCCTGGGCCCGTTATCTGGGAGACGGATGTCACTGTCCTTCTAAATGGGTGCTTCGGACAGTCTCCTTGGCCCTTGCCTCCACCCCTCCACTTCGCTGGCCAGCTCACCTTTCTGTACTGCAGGACTCAGCGGCCCCCAGCCAGGGCTCTTCCCTTCTTTGAAGAGACCGTCTCCGACGGGATCTGTAGCGGCAGGAGAAAACAGTTAGGCGGCCCAGGCGGGAGGTTTCGGGGCGCCGGGGCCAGGCTCGAGGGTGGGTGGAGAGTGCCTTAGTTCCCGGGCGTGAGACTGGGGACCCGAACCGCCCGGCTCCTCCTCCCGGAGCCTAACCCCTGGAGCGCGCGGCGCGGAGCCCCTCCAGGACGCCCTAGTCAGGAAACGCGTCCAGGAAAAAGGAAATCCGCTTTCCGAACGGGCCGGCGGGAGCCTTATAAAGCCGAGCGAGTTTTGCGCCAGCGGAGCCGGATTGCGCGGAGCCCGTGCGAGAGCAGAGGACAGCGCCGGGAGGGCTAGGACGGTGGGAACTCTCGGAGGACCGAGGTGAGGAGCCTCGAGGGCGCTGGGGCGACGCCCGGCGACCACAGTCTCCCAGCGCCGCCGCCTGCGCACTGAGTCGCCCGCCAAACCAAGACCCTGCTGCCTTTCGGCCCCGTACCTGTGCCCTCAGCCTCCCAGGTCCCCAGTATACTCACTTCGAGTCCTCTAGACCTTACACTACAATCTCAAAGCTGTGCATCTGCCTTTAAGGTTCCCCAGTGGCCCAGATCGCTCAATGCGCCCAGCAGTCGAGTCTCTGAGCCGCGCCCCCTTCCCTTGGACGCCGACGTCCCCTTCCCTAGCCTGAGCCCCGACTTCCCGCCCCGGGCCCTGGTGCCTCCAGCCCCCGGCTGGTCCCTGGTACCTGGCAGGTACATGTTGATCAGCAGGGGCTGGGAGGCGCCGCTCTGTCTCATCGCCGCCGGGGACTGGGCGGTGGGAGTGGGGGGGGGGGGGGGATGAAAGAGGGGGACGCGTCAGGCTTTGCGCTCTGGGGCACCGATCCCCGCCCGAGGCGACCGCGGGTGACGGGGAGAAGACGGCGCCGCGCCGGGTCCGGCAGGGCCTGGCGGGAGGGGGCAGCCCGGGTGTGGTGGAGGTGCGGGGGGCGGGGGGGTCTAAAGGAGGGTGTCCTGGAGCTACGCGCCCAGCTACCCGGCTGCTTGGAACCCTCCAGCCCCCGCTCGGGCAGGGGCCGCAATTTCCGTTTTAATTACAGCACCGCCGCCTCGGCCCCCGGCCCCGGCCCCCGCCCCTCTTATCGCCCCATCGCAATAAAGTCTCTAACGCGCCGTGTGGCAGCCAAGCGCACCCAGCAGCCCCCCGCGCCCCGCAGCCTGGGAGACGCGCGGGGGATGGGCCTGGGCCTCAGGCTCTGACAGGGGTCGGGAGATCGTTTCTTTTCCGCCTCCCTGACTCTCCGCAAACAGTGAAGGGGCTGGTGCGGGGCCCCACCTCGGACCCCTGGGGCCACAGCCCCCACCTTTCCGCACTTACCCGCCCCCCTCACTGCTACACTCACCTCCCCTTTTCTCCCCGGTCTACCCCGCCCCCCCCCACCCGGGTTCCCGTCTCCAGGCTGCGTTATCTGCATCTTCACTTTTAAATTTCCGCTTCCCTCCCTCTCGCCTGTCGCTGCGCTCCCGGCCCGGGCAGCCGTTGCTCCCTTTATCTCCGCACAGGCCCCCGCCCCCCCACCCGCCTCGCCTTCTCCCTCTTTCTCCTCTCCCACTCTGCTCTTCCCTGGAGACCCGATCTCCTTCCCCATCTCCCTAGATTTTGCCAGGTGCCTGCCTTTCCCAGGCCTCTGGGACAGTGCTGGGGCCTCTCTCACAGTGCAACTTCTTCGAGACCCTCCTGTCCTCTCCTCCCGCACCTCCTGCCTTCTCTCCCGCTCTCCTTTTCTCATTCATCCCATCGCACTGATTTGTAGTCCTCTAGGGCATGCTCCAGATCCCCCTTCCCTGTCCAGCCTACCAGCCACTCTCACACCCCTCCATCCTGGCCAGCTCCAGACCTGGCTGCTGACTCGCAGCTCTAGCAGGTGGAGGGGTTACAAACAGGACAGTTCTGCTCAAGGTCCCCAACTCAGGGGAGTGGAGGCTGTCGTCCATTCCAGGAAAGGACTGGACCTTTTCAGAACTCCGGCCATTTGGCCGTCTTATTAGCAAAATGGACGCAGCTTCCTGGGTGGCTTAGTCTCTGGGTCCCCTTGGGGCTTTCTGGCTCTGCAGAGGCCATCTAATAGAGACTAACTGAAGGTGAGGCTCTGGGTCAGGAGCCCACCTTCCCTAATCATAGGGCACCCAGTGGCTACAGTCAGAACTGGGCATCTCAAAACCTTTCTCGCTGCTTGAGCCCAGGGCGTGAGGAGGCCTCGGGCTCTGGGGTCCCTGGCTGGAGTGAGCATGTGCTGGGCAGTGTCCCTGCTCCTGGGGTCCCTGACTGAGGATAGCTGGAGAATCTGCCTAGAGGGCTCTTAGGGTTCCCTGTTGGTTTCTCACTAACTGAGTGCTCCTCCCTCCTTGCTGGAGTGCAGGGTACAAGTCTAGGGGAGTAGGAGACCCCAGGAATGGAGCAAATCCTAAAAAGACAGGGATGGGGGTTTATTTAGGAGGCAGATGTGGGAGCAAAGATGAGAGGTTCATCTTTTCATCTGTAAGTGGGCTTACACACCTTATGAAGTGATGAGGCTTATGTGACCTGTCTGGGCCCTCAGACAAGCCCCTGTATATGTTGCTGTCATTCCTGTTACTTAGGAGGCCGTGATCAGCCAGCAAGGCCAAGAGTCCTAAGGTTTGGGGCTCTGCTAAGAGCTGAGACTTATAGCTTCAACTCAGTTCAGCTTCCACTTCACAGTCTGATTTAGGGTCAGGAACTTTGTGTTCAAGTGTTGGCTTTATCATCAAATGAGTGACCTCATCACTGCTTCTTCCTCTCAAAACTCCAGTTTCTTTTTTGGTGAAATAGATGAAGCGTGGGAGGTATTGGGAAGGTCCAATATAACAGGCACCATTAACCTTAGAACCCAGCCAGGTATGAACAGAATTCAAAGCCTGGGGACCTCTATTCCTTGGTCCCCTGTGTAAACCTGGGGTCCATGAGGAGGGGGAGGGGACTACACTGACTTTTTCTATGACATAACAAGCACACTTAAGAGGTTCTCCCTGAATCCTCACAACTCTGAGAAAGATGAGGAAGGAATCAATCACCCCAATTTATTGATTTATTTATGAAAGATTTATTTTATTTGTGCATATAGAATTGGGGTATAGAGGAGAAATGCAGGGGTGGTGAGTGGACTCATCAGAGGCAGAGTGGGGAGCAGAACAGGCCAACTGATGAAGTACACTGCTGAGGAGAGCAGTGGGCGGGTCAGGAGAGGTCTGACGGGCCATGTGGTCACCTCCAGGGCAGGCAGGGATCAAACTCATGCGGAAGTGGCTTCAGCTTCTTAGTGCTGTGCTTTAACCCACTGCACCAACAGGGAGGGCCAATCACCCCTATTTATAGGCAAGAGAATAGAAACATTCACGAATGCTATACAACTGGATCCCAGGTGTTCTCACTTCTGGGCCAGGGATTTTCTCAAGGGAGCAGGTACCTGCTTTGCACACCTGGGCCCCTGTGGACTGCCCAGCTCCATGCCTGACCATCATTGCCCTTCCTCTTTTCTGGGCTGGGGGCAGCGATCAGGGCCACCCTCCCCATCAATAGAGCCAGTAGGGCTTGAAAATACAAGCATCCTTAAGGGACAGGATGAGGGGAGTCCCAAGGAGACCCCTAAGTGGGACTGGGGGCATCATTAACTGACTCACAGAGGGAACTGGAGAGAAATGAGCCAGGGGCACTGATGGCAGCTGCCACACTGGTCCCTGCCATGGTTGTGGGCCTTTGGCACTCAAGAACCACAGCTCACTGCGGTCAGTGGCTAAAGAGGGGTCACTCTACCTCATCAGTCCTTTGAAGGGTGAGGTGAGAGGAAAGAAGCTGAGAGAGGGGTGTGAATTGCTGTGTAAATGCTAGAGCTCAATGCTAGGGGCACAAAGTTGGACTCAGAGAGGCAGCCTCCGCCTTACAAGACCTGCAGAGGTGTGGGGATTCTTTCATACACACCCTTCAGCCTCTACAAGGCAGGATTTTTATAAAGATTGGAAAAGGCTTGGGCTTCCCTGGGCTAGGTAGGGAGCCAGGGTGAAGATAAAAACTAGAAATGCCCTGGGGATGGGACCTCTTCCACCCCCAGCAGAGCTCTGGCAAGAGTTAAAAAGATCCTGCCTTGCATGATGGTATCTGGTGTGTGTGTGCTTGTGTGTGTGTGTGTGTGTGTTTAGGCTGCAATTCTGCTGTGAGCCAGGTCTCCTATGGGGCCATGTGCATTCCATTCAGAGGGAGGCAAAGGTGCCCTGGGCATCCCTATCCTGAGCTGCTGGTCTTTACCAAGGAGAGATAATTAATGGATGGGAGTATTGAGTAGGATCCTGAAGAGTTTTACCAGCAGTTTTTTTTTTTTTCTCAACCCCATCAGAGACTAGCTTCATACATCCTAATCCAGTTTATAGTCTGCAGTAAATTCTTAGAGCCTGAGAGATGGGTCAATCTGGCAGGGAGGATTCATCTGAAAGATAATGAAGGGGATCATAAAACAAGACACCAAGAAGAAGGTAAGAGGGACAGGCAAGTTCAGGAGACATTTATTAGCATCTTCAGGGAAGGTGCTGGTGCTGTGGGGTTTAGTGTGGGCCTGTGTGCCAAATTCACCGTAGGTACAGAACTCCCTAAGGTTGGTCCCACTCCAGTACATACTGGTAGCCCCTGATAAGCCAATAAGGTCACAAGGATGGAAAGTAGACCCCACCCCACCCTAACCGTATCCTCCACTAGTGACGGTCCTCTTTCTGAGATCCAACCCCCAACTCCAAAGCCATTCTTCAGATCTCCCTACTTGGATCTCCCCCCCCCCATTGCCTAGGTCTTCCTATCACCTTCCTAGCCTTGTTTCCTATCCCCACCTTCCACTGCCTCCTCATTCATGTTTTCAACCTCCCTGTCTATGCCCATATTGTTCCCCTGGAATAGTTTCTCCCAATACCTGCACCCAGTCTCCTTCCCAGTCTGTCTCCATCATCTCACTTCCCCCTTGCCTCTAAGTCCCCCATCACCTCACTTCCCCTTCCCCCTAGGAGGATCTCTCCTCACTCTTGGCATGCCCTCAACCTCTTCCTGCTCTCCTTGCACCCCATCCCTCCCTGCTTTTTGCATTTCCTCTGTGCCTATCTCAGGAATCACCGCTAGAGCTGACTTTTAGGGCACCCACATCCTTGCTGATCTAGCACATGCAGAACAGGGATGGGTGGTCATCGCTGAGTTCATAGTTGCAGCCCTGAAAGTGTCCTCCTCAAACAGCATCACAGGGCTGTCATTATGGTTCTGAGGCACAGGAATGTGGAGGTGCACAGGTGAGCCTCTAACGAGGGGCTGATGGGTACCTGTCAGCTCCATTCTCCTCTCCCACTGCCCAATACAAGCAGTGCAGACAATTAGGTTCTAAAAGAATTCCCAGAGTTAAAAATTCACTCCAACTCCCTAAGCAGTCTGAGAAACTGGGGTGTTCAGGGGTCCCCAGCATGGACTCAACTTTGGGTGAAGTGATGAAACTAGAACTGTCCCAGCAATCATTCTAGGTCAGGCTAGAGGGCCTCTTGCAACCTGGTGTCCTCCTGATTTGCGGGAGGAAAAATCAGAGCTTCCTGGGAGGGACATGGTCCATTGACTAAGGCAGATTTCCTAAGAGTCCCACTGACTTTCCACATCTCTGCCCAGCACAAGGGCACGGCCTCTCACAGGCCCAAATAAATGGTTCTAGATGGCAGGACCAGAGCCCACAGATGCCCACAAGCATTGCAGTTGTTTTGGTAATGATTTCCACAGTCCCAGGGATTTTCCTGTGCAGGGCTCCTTGGCCTCTTACAGTGGGGGATCTGGGCTGAGTCAGCACCTGCTCTTTGCCTTCTACCCCCAACACCCCCACGCCTCACCAGTGCAGTACACAAGTCAGCTAAATGGGAAGTGAAATGCTCCTCTCCAGTGCACTTGATTCATTACTGAGACTTCCCCTCTTTCCATGCATACAGAGACTGGCTGTCTTCTCAGACTTGATCCCTGGATTGAAATTTAGTCTCATTTTCATGTTAACCGTTGTGACCCTGGGGAGCACGTCAAATTTCCCCTCTGAGTCCATTTCCACAGGTATGTATGGGGCCAGCAGTAGTCACCCTGTGCTGTGTCATGTCAGAGGCGCACACAGGATGAGGAACTAGTGGGGCGGTCAGGACTGGTAAGGTGCTGTCCCTGGTGCTGACTCCAGCACTTGTCTGATGCCCACAGGAGCCTCTCTGGTTCTGGAAAACAATGCCATTGCCATCCATTTAGGAATTATGTTTACACCTCCCCCCACTTACACAGTGGTTGTATGGTTTTCCT